GATTGAGATGTTGTGGCATGACCTTAAAAAAGCAGTTAAGGCTCAAAAACCCTCCAATGTGGCTGAATTACAACAATTCTGCAAAAATGAGTGGGCCAGAATTCCTCCACAGCGCTGTAAAAGACTCATTGCCAGTTATCGCAAACGCTTGATTGCAGTTGTTGCTTCTAAGGGTGTCCCAACCAGTTATTAGGTTTAGGGGGCAATCACTTTTTTCACACAGGGCCATGTAGGTTTGGATTTTTTTTCCCTTAATAATAAAAACCTTCATTTAAAAACTGCATTTTGTGTTAACTTGTGTTATCTTTGTCTAATATTTCAATTTGTTTAATGATCTGAAACATTTCAGTGTGACAAACATGCAAAAAAATAAGAAATCAGGAAGGGGGCAAACACTTTTTCACACCACTGTACATGGTGACTTTGACCTCTAGTGACCCCGTCTGCCAAGTTCAAGCGCTCTGTTATCAGCGCGACAGTAACAACTCTGGAATTGTGTTTCTCTGTTTGCCCGGTTGTGGGACGGGGGTTGATTTTGCTTTTAATACTTGTGTGCGTATATCATACCCTAATCAGAACAGTTGTAGATGTAGCCTTAAAAGGCGAACATTAGCAAACATCTGCATGGTCTTAGAAAGAGGCTTTAACTAGCACGTCTCAATATTTTGTAGCTGTGTCCTTTTTTAAAAATCTGAAGAAGTAATCGGTTTCTTATTGTCATTTTTATATTTATATGTGAATTGAGGGCCGTTTAAAGATTCAACCCGTCTTTCGAGCCACCTATTTAAAAATAGTTAGGATTAGCAATTCCTGTATCACAAGACCATTTTTTATATATTTCTTATGCAAAAAAATCATAAATGTGAAACAGAACCAGGATTTTTTAAAGGGGCACTATACACTAAGTTGACCCAGGTAGTTCATAACGCAACCACAGAACAACATTGGAAACTCTACCGTCTCGCACATGCAGACCTCAGAAGTTAACCAACACATGTAGTTTTAATTACTTGATGTGATGAAAACAACAGGTTTGCATTTTGAGCAGTCCGGTGGAGTGGATTGCATTTCAATATAGCGCCTCCCTTTTCGGAGAATGACACGAATATAGAAAGATCATGACCGCCAGATCTTTCAATTGTGATCTAGGACAAGTTGATCCCAGCGTTTAGAGTTGAACTGATTTCTGATATATTTTCTGCATCTCCAGCGAAGACCTCTTTGAAAGCTTCATTTGTCTAGATCGTTATAATGATTGTTACACATGCTAGTAAATCTTGAAAAATATTGTTACAGTTGTGAATATAGAATATCACAGTTGCAATTCACGAGGAAAATGCCCTCTACCCTGTTGGTATAAGGAGGTCACCCAATGAAACTTTTTTGGCTGCAAAATTAAAGTGAGTTTTAACACATCAAATCTCCCATAAGAAATTAAAAATACATGAGAATGAAGAATTAGAAAAGATTAGTGACTCAGTGGATAAAAAATATTAGTGATGAAAGAGTGGACGAAACTGATACCCAAGCTCAGCTTGAGCCCAGTACTCCAAACATACAAGTGGAGGTCATCAGTGTCAAGACTGTGGGTATCATGCTTGTTATCTGGGGCTATAGTTTTAGTGAGGATGAGGAGGAAGGAGGATTTAGCTCACATATTTTGTGCCCTCTATGAGTGAACAAACAAAATACTTTTAGTGGTTGATGATGCCATGGTTAATGTGGTGCAGCAAGCAGCGAAAATGAAAAGGCAATCTGACAAATAATTCCTGCCAGTTCAGAGAGGTGTGACATTCTGAGTTCCTGTTCCCGTGGTTGGTAGAGGCAAAGGAGATGCTCGTGATGTTTTCACCTGTCATCGTGGATGTGAAAAGTGATGGGTTTTATCAGCTGGGTACAAGACAAGGGATTTTAAAACAACTGTATGCAAGATCACAGTTCACAGAATGTCAGAAAGGATTCATAGGATTAGAAGATGTCCCAGTGGATGAAGAAATATCACTCAGATCAGCATCTACTCCGCCATCTACAGGGACTGGACAAGGATTTAAGTGCATGTGCAAAAGAAAAGGCCAATCCATTAAATGTTTTTGTGTGAAAAAGAAGGCACTTTGCAGTTCCAAATGCCATTCTAGTTCTGCTGACTGCACTAAGTAAACTTGTTTCACGTTATGACATACTTTTGTAATCATTTTAATTTTTAAATACTTTTGTAATCATTTTAATATTTTTATCAACTTCATTAAATAATTATTTCATAATATCTTGACAACTGACAGCATTGCGTACATATTTTTCATTCATACTTTGTCAACAAATATGAAAATGACACATTTTGCTTACTTACACTTTGTCTACATCACTTTTGGTATTTTACATAATGCCTTTTCAAAGTAGCGAATATAATATGGAAATAATACATTTCATACATTGCCAACAACTTTCGCTAAAAGTTATTAAGCGTATAAATACCTAGGAATTTTATGCATTGCCTGGATTTTACACTTTGCCTGTATACATGTACATGTGTGCAAAGCGGTGTGCTTTCTTGTAAAAGCTGTAACACGTTGTGATGTATTTTTCTTTCTCTCAGCCACAACATGTCGCGGGATCGAAAGCCTGGTTTCTACAGCAATGCGCCACCACCTGG